CTGCAGGAGGATGGCCAGAGCGGGGGTTCACAGTGCCCATGGTATGTCTCAGGGGGTGGCAGGAGACCCAAGTACCTTAAAAAGGGGATGGGAGAAAGGAGGCGTTGGGAGGAGGGAAGAGAGGGAATAACTCTCCTCGACTGGAGACGTACCCTCCAGCAGAGCCCCCGCCTTGGCTGACCCCGAACCTTTCCCAGTGCTCTCTGAGGAGCTCAGCACTTCCTTGCTTTGCCTTGGACTATGAGCTGATGGAGCAGGGTCTGACCACGGGGCTGGGAGGCTGAGGAGAAGAGAGAGGGTCACTCTGCTACATTTACCACTGCTCTAACACATCCACTAATGCTTTACAGTCTCCCAGCATGGGACCAGCTTACAGGACTTGTATATTAAAAGAAACCAACAGAGAAATAGTTTACAGCTATGTACAATGAATGTAAATCCATACAGGATTGCTGGGTGTATGTACATGAGTGTAGATTGGCACAGTGGCGACCACTCCAGCGTTGTGTTTGCTTGCAAGGACCATGCATCTAAGCCATGGGCTTTGCTATTGCAGGTTTTCAGCACAGGTCCCCCAGGAACAGCCAGGGACAGAGGGTCAAAAAGGCAAAACAACCACTGGTGGAGGCCATTTGGATACTGTATGGTCCCAATAGAGGAGGGCAGCATTTTCTAGTCTGTTTGCACCTTAGCAAAATGATTTCTCTTATTAAATACAATGTCTTATACATTCAACCAACAGTTCAGCTAGCCTGGGGTTGGTTTTCCTTTTATCTCTTCCCCTCCAGTTTGTGCAAGATAATCAATACAGTTCTGGATCCCCACCTGCTTCCTTCTTCCCGGTATCCCCAGAGGTGTCAGCATGAGGATAAACTGTAGGAATTGGTATCTGGTGACAGGGTGGCATCCCTTTTTCTGTGATTTATCACATACAAGCTAGCAGGTGTTATAAATACAGGACGTCTGACTTTTTTAAAATCTCCCATTCAATAAATATCTACAATTAAGCTTAACTAAACCCCAACACATCCAGGCTGAATGAATTCCAAAACCAAAAGACACCAGAAGTCTCATCAGTATGTTCCTGCCAAACCTTACACAGCAACTGTATTGCAACCAAGTCAATGGGATTCCTGGAAATGCTACATGAGCTCTGCCTATTGCTTATCTAATTGGAGATGACATTTCACTGTCGCTGCTGTGCATTTACTGAGGAAACTTCCTCTGATTAAAAAGAAAAAGACTAGATCAGATTTCTGCATGCAACAAGTACCTGCCCACTTCTGAGTGTTGCATGTCTGGACAGAGATTTTTATTTAGCACCTTGTAGTTGTCAAGAGAAAGGGGTTACTGCATCTTCGGGGGTTACCGCATCCTAAGGGAATGCAGAACCAGCCCTAGGATGAGTGCACGGGCAAAGCGATGATATTCGCTTACTGAAAACCATGGGCACGTTCTTTAAATAGCCTCTCTTCCCTCCCTGGCTTTCCTTAGTGTTTGTTAACATGAAAATAAACATGAAAAGCATTCTGTACATTTAAAAAGACACGGTTTTGTACAGAGGAGGCGGAAGTCGAACAGCAGCAATAGAGATGGGGAATGGCTCTACTCCAAGCAAATGCCATTCATCCCCAAGACACAGAAATCAAAAATCTTACTATTTAATGAGCAAAGAGGAGCTTGTTCCAGGAGAGGAGGTACTGGATTGGTATCCCTATAAAAATACACCTAGGTGTACTGTACGTGTAGGTTTTTGTGACTTCTCAACAGAGCTTAAGAGGTTTAGAGAAAGAAACACTGAACGTCTTCACTTTGTGGCATGAGTTAAAATCCAGCACCGGGGAGCAAGCACGTGCACTGGGAGATGGGATTCGACCAACATCCTCCTGGAGCAGGTTTGTACTAGTGATGTAAAATTAATGTTCCGTTGAGTGAAACCTACAGATCAGTTTGCAGGCAGAACGAGACAGTGCTGGTACAATGGCCTGAGCACCTCCTGCTGCTGTTCTTCCTCTTGTCTTGCTTTACAAAGAGGGTCCGAATCGGTGTGGCCAGGTGGGTTCAGAGAGCAACATGCCTTAAACAAATGAACCGTATCTTTCCTTGTGGTTCCAGATCTTTGAGGGACATGGAAAGCTGTTGAGAAACGTGCACTTTGTGTGCAATGGGCCCTTCTAACAGGGTGCAGGTGGGGAAGGAGGACAGAGGGACTTAACCCATCACCTTCAACAGGCTGCTGGTAGCAAATCAGTTTGGAAGGAAAGCAAAACCGAGAAGCCCACCCTGGATATGAACCCAATGCAGCTTTTTGCAGCTGGGAACGGGTATTGCTTGTGCAGCCGTGCCTGCCAAGTGAGCAGTTAATGGTTCTTGTGGTGTGCAGGCATGGTGAGCAGCCGTCCATCCAAACCAGGAGGTTTTAAGCAGCTGTACTTCGTGAGATACGCAGGTTTTCAGCCTTCACTCTACATTATTAAGATTCCTCCTTTGGCCCCGTCTACTTAAACTCTGACCAGTTCCAAAACCCTGAATAACCCAAAGTGCTTCAGTTTGTGGAAATAGTTGCTTCTGCTTTCTCTGAAGGCAAAAGACTAACGTTATCCTCGGAACACAGGTTATTAAAGAGAGCCAACGCCACTGTGAAGTGTCCTCCCACTCCCCATTCTCCCAAACTATCAAAAGGGCTTTTCTGGCCTGTTTCCTTTGCTCTCGGGCAATGCCTTGCAAATGACACTGTTTGTGTTTTTACATCTGCATCCGGGCCGGCTCACTTGGTCGTAGCATCTCTGGGACAGCTTGACGCAGCCGGTGGCTGGCAGGTAGCAGAGCAAGCAGGGGAGCACCAGGGAGAGGGCGCTCATGAAGGACCAGCGGGCACAGCAGTTAGAGTGGGAGCAGGAGCAGGGGTGGTCGGCACATGTGCCCTCGTCGTCCTCGTTGGTGCAGTGGTAGAAGACGCCCTTGACAAGACACATGCAGGTGGAGTAGTTGACCAGGTTCTGTGCTGAGCAGAGGCACTCCTGGTTGCACACCCAGCAGGAAGGCAGCGTCCGGGGCAGCGCACACTCCTTACATTTGCATTTCCCACAGGCTTCGCACAGCAGAAAGTGCTTGTCCAGTTCCTGAGACACAGGTTCCTTCAGGTCCAGGGGTTTGCAGTTAATCACCTTGGGCTGAATGCGAACTGCTCTGGGGGAGGACTGTTCTGCCACGGGTGCTGGGGCCATGTGGTCCAAGAGCCTTTGGTCTGATGAAGTGCTGCTGCTGCTACTGATGGAGCTGGGGCGCCCGCTGAACGAGATCCAGGGGTGGGTGACATCCTGCTCGCAGCGCTGCGGGTGCTGGTTGGTCAGAACCAGTTCATGGGGGCCTCGGGGCCGCTTCTGGGCTGCCAGCTGGGCAGCGGTGGGGTTGTCAGTGTAATCGTTCTCTATGTGAGTGGTCTTCATCTGGTCAATCGGCAGGATGGTGAGTGGGTGCTGCAGGCGCCCATAGGGGATCCGACTGTCCAGCAAGGGCTGGACCATCACAGAGTTGGGGACAACGGTGATGTTGTGGGGAATCCGGGGCTCCATGGATCAAGCAGTCTGATTACTGGTGAAAAATCTGTTCTTAAGTATTCTGGGGGAAGGAAAGGAGAAAGAAAAGGGGTAGGGGAGAGAAAGAGCGCATTGTTATAGAATTAATTTTGAGGGCCTTGAACAACCTTGTCTAGTGGAAAGTGCCCTTGCCCATGGCAGGGGGTTGGAACTGGAGGAGCTTTAAGGTCCCTTCCAACCAAAACCATTCTGTGATTCTACCCTGCAACCCCCGATCAAACAGGGCTCTTTACTGAGGCTGATTATTATGCAGAAAGTCTTCTAGGGTAAACTCAGAATGGCATCAGAGCACTTGCCCGTGTACAAAATGCATCTGTCCTCCTTTGCTGCTGTGTTCCCCTCCCTAACCTTGGGCATACACAGCTCCTCTGGTCCTAAGAGGGCTACCACTGCTGCAGGGCCCTTAAGCGCCGGTGTCTCATTTTTTCAGGGGGAAAGCACATCTTAGGGTTACTGCTGTATATTCACACGCACTTTTGTCAGCAACCGGCCCGAAGTGACTTGTCTAAGGTCTGGGGTTTTTTCTCCGCTGACCCTGATCCCTAAAAGCCCTGATACAAAACTGTGGCTCACGGGAGTGCTGGCCTGGTACAAAGATGCTTTGGAGCGTGGGGTGAGCACTCATCCTGCTAACCCCGAATCTGCCCGCGGGAGGGTGGCTTGGCTTGGATGGGGAAATGTCCCGTCTCCATTGGGAGCCGCTGGTCTCAGAGGCTGCTTTCAGCCTTCCTGCAGGAGGTGGAAGTTCTCGCTCAGCTTGTCTGGGTGCAAACCAGGGCAGGAGCGAGCGGGGAGAGCGCACGCACGGGTCAGACTTGATCCGTCACCTCGTGCAGGTAGTGAAGCACAGTTCTTCAGAACACCAAGTGGACTAACGCTCGGCTCAAGCGCTGTTTACCAGCTACGCTGGCTCAGCCGCTGCTGCCGCAGTTTCTAATTTCATTGAAAGAGTGCAATTTACCCTGGAGTCAATCCAAAGATTCAGCAGCGGCGTAGGACAAGAAACCACAGGAAGTAACTAAACTTAAATCAAAGAACGGAAACGACTCGGTTCAAATTTAGAAAGTGCACATTGTTTTCTAGTAGATGTGCCATTTCCTCACGGGGTGACCTTTATTCATAAATAATATAATGTTGAAGAGCAGTTTAAAGAAGGGGTGAGGAAAGCTTCAGAGCAAGTTGCAGGAGGGGAAAAGCTTCTGGTATCAAGAAAAAGGAAACAGTGAACAGCTTAAGGCATTGCCAGTTGTTTGCGTTCAGATAAATTAAGCTTTTTCCAACAGCATGAGAGAGTTTAATATTAGAGCAGTCTGAAAAAGAGTCAGGAAAACAACGCATCAAACTACAACCAAGATGTGTGTGTGCACGAGGAAATGTCTGTGTTCTGCAAGAACACGCTCTAATCTCAACAGAACGAAAACTGGAGCATGAACTAATTACGCATTTATGGAAGGAGAAGGGGAAGTGCATTTTTCTTTACCCACTGAATAATGTTACTAGAGGCCACTATTGCATTAGTAAATCATTGCTGTGATAGGTCACTTGGCATCTGAGGGGCTGAAAATCTGCCAGTTCTCCCAGGATCAATAGGAGCGAGGGCTGATGCTGGACAGAGGCCAGGGCAGTGGCACAGGGTGGGACGGCACATGGCACCTCTGGGTGCTAGCACAGGGTCCTGCCTGCTGGACTCCTTCTGTCTGCTGCACAGGGCGAGCAGGAAGAAGTGCTTGAGCTAGCAGTGATGATGATTATTGGAGTGTGGTCTTTAGGCTGTTTCTCTTCAGGAGTTAAAATCCTCTGCTGGGTCTTAGCCATTCATTTGGATTTTTGTTATTTCATTATTCATAGCTCACTGACATCCTGACTCGAGAAACAAGAGTTTTCAGAGCATCTATTCTTATTTACTGTATTTAAAAGTAAAAAGCAGCAATGATTCAGACAACTGTGGGGCATCACTTTTCTTCTGTATGTCAGAATCCACTGTCATGATATAAAAAGTACTTGCTGCAAGTCAGATACTTGGTTCTGCATCAGCTAGGTGGTATGTCTGCAGGAAGCCTTTGACTTCACAGGGGGGTTGGGATTTGTTTTCTTTAAGGAGAGGGATGCAGCTGTGTTGGCTGCCAAGAGTTAAGTGCAGCAGAGCTGATGCTAGATGGAAGGTAGCTGGAGGAAATGGTGGTATGCTGAAGGATGTTACAAGCCTGTCTGCTCCTCCATGTCCCTGGCGGCACTGACTTCATTGCCTCTCCCCTCTAGCACGGGGCTGTGTTCTGGCCTGAACCCACTCCCCCTCGTTACCAAACCTGTGGAATTTGGTCTGTTTGCCATACATCTAGGCTGGATCCATGGAGCATTATTTCTTTTAAGGTGCAGCATGTGCCAGCACCATATGGAGGAGAGCTGGGCAGCCCCCGGGCAGCATCTGCTGTCTCCGTCAGTGCAGGGAGCCTGACCTGGTGCTGATTTCCCATCGGGGCACCTCTGGGTGGCACATCGAGGGGTTCTGCTTCACTGAGGGCACCGCGCAGGGAGCCCCCTGCCCCAGCACCATGGGACAGCAGCAAGTGGGAGGGCAGCACCGCTGGGCCCGGAGTCGGCATCTGGGCTTTACATTAACTCTGTAATTGCCCAGTCTGCCGTGGTCCAGAACCAGCGATGACATCACATGGAACTTGTGTTATCAGATTAGTTTGGAGACGTATTAGAGCCACAGGCAGTCTCAGAACACCCAAACCCTGGTACACAGACATGGCCACAGGCAGGCAGACATTAAAGATGGCTTAACTAGATATGCTAATGCTAATCAGGATTTCAGAGTTGACTTGCACAGAAGGGAGATGAACCCTGGGCTAAACACTGCGCTTTAGGATAGTTAATGTTGAAAATGATTCATCTTTTTCCATTATAATACTGCTTCACATTGTTTTTCTAAGAGGGAAACTATTTCTGCAGAACAAGAGGAATGGAAGCTCCGACATGGCAAAAGACCTGCAGATATTTGGGGACAGGATCTCTACTTGGATAAAAGCTCTGGAGTGAAGACAGAAAAACAAGACCCAGCTCTCCTAATTCCCAGACCCCTGGCTCTGGACACAATCTGTCTTGCTGAAGATCACCTTTAAATCACCACAGATACACATCCTACTAGTTTTTGGTGCTACACATGGTCCTTCAGCTTCTGTGCTGCCTTCTCACTCCCGAGCAGAGGGTTTCCACAGTTGACCACTGTCATCTTTCAAGCTACTCTTAAGAGACATAAATTTCTGGCATTTATGGAATTTTCCAAGGACCGTGACTATGTTGCTGCTGCTGGTCCTGTCACAAGAAGTTCCAGCAGTGCAGTAACATTGCTGGTGACAGATCCAGGTCAAACATCTCACGTGCTGAACTAGAGAGCGAGCTGGGTGGTGCTGGTCCTGCAAGGAGGCTCTCCTCCACTGGGATCAGCCCACAGGACAACAATGTCAGTATTTAAGGATGTGGTTGCCTCGTGTTTTTTGTCCCCTGGCACTTGCCTTGAGCACATCTTTCCCTGAGCTGTTTCTGCCTTAAACTTTATGTCTGCGTCACATGAAAGAAGAGATTTTAGCAAAGGGTACAAGGTAGCTGTTTACATACACAGCACTGCATCTCTCATGGTAAAGAAGAGGAATCCAGGCAAGTTCTCAGGTTAAGGACTTGTGCTGGACCAGAAGCAAGGCTGTTCCCCTGAAGCTGTGCAGGCTGAGGAGTGCCTGACTGGGTATGTGCATGGTGGATCCTGGTGACTTCCTTGGGAGATCCTCCAAGACATCACAACTTGACCATTTTTGGTTGATGTGTTCCCCAGAGGGGAAAAACACAGCTGCAGCCAGTCTGAAATTGTTCCAGGATGACCGGAACAATACAACCAAGTCATCCTTTGAAATGCAATCAGTTTGCAGGATGCCTCATGGCTGTTCACCATAAGCATCTGGTAAGATGTCTGCTAAGCAGCAGGGAAGCTCATTCCTAGTCCAGAAGCAGGACACTATGCCCTTCACCTCCCACCAGGAACCCACCACACACAGGGTGCCTGTCAGGAAGGACAACATTGCCTTGAGCAGCAGCGTTGGCATCTTGTAAACTGCAGCTTCATCCCCAATCAGAATTAATGTTTGGGGTGACCTGGCAGAAATTAAGACCTTGGAAAAGGACAAGAGCTGAAGGGGTGTAACCCTGGGGCCTGTGTAGGTGAGCAAGCTGGGGTCCAGAGGGGTCAGCTGTGTCTTATAGCTGTTAGCTCAGATGTTGAAGTGACCTAGTTCAGCATATGGCACATGGAACTGGCCACTGCCTGAAGCAGCCCTGGGTAGAAATGGTGACAAATGTGAAGCACTTTGGTTGTGAGGGAATGCACGAAAGAATAGGCTGAGCTGTCTCCACCACCCCCTTCAATTAGAGTGCCTGAAGGTGCCTGTGGCAGCTCACCAAGGAGGGGATGGTTACTAGAGATGAGCTACAAATGTCAAACCCCCTAAGAAAGAACAGTTCTGCTTGTTGGACTCATCTGTGGTGGTAAGAAAGGCCTGAATTTTGCGATGCCAGTGCTGTGAACAGCTCTCTTCCTGGCAAGGGCAGTTGGGTAGTGCTTGCAGACACTGAATTAACTGCTCAAATTGAGCAGATTTAATGTAACCAGATGTGCCATTTAAAGAAAATTGTAGATTAAAAAAGAAATACGGAAGAGATAAAGTAGAATAGGACATCTGAGATACTTAAGCTGTGAAACTCTTTGCCTTTGTTGTCCACTGCACTAATCCAGCCAGACTCTAAATTGTATTTTAATCGAGGAAAAAAGCCATACAGAATACTTGTAAACAAAATTAGTTAATCTTTGATCGTCAGTAATTACAGACCTATTACAGCATTAACATAGGCACAGATTCACTGGGTGCAATTGTACAGGCAATGTTCTGAAAGCAGACAGCAAGAAGGCAAATTCATGAGTATGTTCTTGCATTGGG